TTCTTTGTCCTTCACCTTTTATTTTATAAATGACCATGGTGAAATTATAAAAAAATGCCATTTATCTTTAGTTTACTTTTCCACCAAATGCCAGTATTAATTTTAAAGCTACCAATGTTGTTCAATCACACTGATGTGGTCCTCTATTCTTAACAAACACTAAACTTAAGTAAAATGAACAAAGAGAAAGCATGCAGGCAACATTTCATTTAAAGGAAAGAGAACCTAATTGCATGTTCTAGGAAGTCTGATATAGTCAAGTTTCTTTAGAATTGGGGACTGTAGCTGCTAGTCTTAATTTATGATGATGTATATGAAACATTGGCAATCTCTACCCTTAACACAGGCATGCTTTCCCACCCAAAGCAAGGCATATGCAAGACTTACATCAGCACTGGTTTTCATCTCACCTTGATTGTCTATGTTCACCTCATCCGTTTCACACATCTGCTTTAGAACAAGATGAACTTAACCCAGGAGGTGCTTATGCTTTTCTTAGTAATTATAAAAGAAACCTCCTTTACTTGAAGGGAACTAGGGCTCAGTTGAGCTCCCCAGTTTCTGACGTTTTAGGCTATCTCACTTGGTCTTCAGCTGCTGGTCAGAAAGTGTGTGGGTGACTTATAGATCCTGCATGGGATCTACCAGTCCTATATGGATGCTCTGAAGAACAGAAGTGCTGAACTGTTTCTGTGAGATGGAGTTTGTTTTGCTGCCAAGAAACCAAGGCAGGTGTCTACACCTGAGGTATGCGTCCGCTAGAGCCGGTGGAGAGCCAGTCGCTGCACTGCCTGCATTGGAAGCTCAGCTCAGACATAGGCTGAAGAGCCATTTAGCCAACAAGCTATTGAGAGTCTCTTTTAGGATAAACAGAGTCACTCTATAGATTCCATTGAGCCTATGTAGACAGGTAGACATCTCTGTTTAGGTGTGTTTATCTGGAGCTAAAGCTCGCCTTGTACTAGGTCAGATAGTGATTTCACTTGATGCATCTGTTGGTTTCTGAAAGTTTATGAGGCAAAAGAGCAGAGGAGCTGAAAGCCAAAAGAGAGCCCTAGTGAAGACCTTCAGCACCATCAGGTGTGCAATCTTGATGAAGGACTGGAAAAGGCTTGTTGCCAGCTAAATGCTGGTGGGTACAGTGATGCTCCCTCCCGTTCTCTCTTGAGGGAAACAGGATTTGTTCAGTATGCAGAGATGCATGGAAAAGCCAACTGGCAGTTGTCTTCAGCAATCCAGAGGACTCCAGGGTTTTGTTAGTTACTTGGGCCAAAGACTAAGACTTAACTATCCTTTATTGTTCATTTCACAAAACAATGTGGTATAGCAACTTTCACAGGGGTATGACTCAGCCGTGGCGAGTGGCGCCCCAGAAAGTCAGGCAATGCTCTGTCTGCCAAGGAGATCTTCAGATTGGAATCCAATTCTTTAGATCAGGATTTCTTTAGAAGTGGATGCTGCTTATGATTAGATTCTTAACACCATAATGTGTGGAAAATATCGGAACATCTATTGTGGGAGAAGCTGTATTATTCACCTTTGATAGATTCATAGAGTATAATAATTAAAGGCAGTCATGAGTTAAGCAAAAGCTCAGCAAAACAAACTGGTGCTGACATACACAGATAATGTCAACTGATAGCTGGTTGGCGTTATGGATTGTTTTATAATTAGATAATTAAAGCAAGTCTGTACAAACTTTAACTTTCAGGAAACTATAAAAATACATGTAGCTGTAAAATTATACTTAGCCATTAATTTCTTGTCAAGTCTGTCATACCTGCTCATAAAATGCTTAATAAAGAAGCTTATACATGCACAGCCTCATGCATTTCTTCTGGAAAGTGCGCTATGTAGCAGCATAGTCCTAGAATACTGAATTACAACTCTAAAAATACATATAATTTTTTGCTCTTCATTCCTTTTCGAGTTGAAGCTGTTATTACAGCTTCTGTCTTTTAAAGGCAGGAAGACATTCAAGGCCCACCAGAAGGTAGTCCCACTGACTTAGCCAAAACCATGCAAAAATATAAGGATTTTATGCAGGATCTCTAGACTGAGAACTAGAACTGTTGATTATTGGGATTTGGATTTCTTCCCGAGTTTAATTTCTGTCTCATCAGAAAACAAACCCTAGGACTTCAACAACATCAACAGATGTTAGTAGGTATTGAGCCCTGAACTATCACATGGCCTGTCTATTGGATCTTGTAGTTCTGAAGTAGATCCAAGCAGGTGTTGTACACAATACAGAGATATCTCATGACAGACATGGAGGAGCTGATGATGAACGAAGGCACACCAGCAGATTCACAGTAAGAAAAAAAAAAAATCGGAATACAAGCCTACAGAATAGATTTAATTCTACAATACTTAGTTTAACTCCCTGTTGCGCTTGGAAGTAAAAAAAAAATTTTGTACCTGTAGCCTGAGTGTGAATTTCGGTTCTGTATATCTGAATTTCCAATCATCTGTCCAGCAGATCCAGGGTCTTTATGCGAGGTAACTTGCTAAAAACACTTTGCATTTTTTTCGGGGTCTAATGATGAAGGGTTCTTTGCACAGTTCTTTTCATTTCATTTGACTGATATTTTTGCAGAATCAGTTTCTGCAAAGTATAGACAACAGAGAATAGGCTACTACAAACATCTTGTGCATTGGGTATTTCCTCCTAGTGTTGAATGAACTAAATGGAGGAATATATGTAAAACTAAAATGAGTTAAAACCAGTAGATGTATCACATATGCGGAAGTGGCTGAATTGGTTGATATTAAAAGTTTCTCAGTTTTGAGTTTGGGTTTTTTTGGGGGAGCAACACTGCTGCTGAACAGTTCATACTGCAACAGTAAGTCCCTTTCACAAAAACGTAGGTTGCCCCAACTCCAAACTCAAGGTATCTCATGCAACATCTCTTTTTCACTGAAAGTACTTAGCTATCCAATATATCTTTGATCATAATGCATTTGACTCCCTACAGAGGTAAAAACTGCAGAATTTCTAAGGGCACGTTAATTACTAACCTAACTTGAACTTAACCAGTATGCAGCTGCTAATATCATTATAAAAAATTGTGATACAGTAGAATAAAACAAAATGCATAGGATACATGGGCACACTGAATGTTGCCAGTATCAATTGCTTTGCATCTTACTTTATACAAGCAATTTCCCTTCACTGGGAAATTCACTTCACTTCACATTCTGACGATTAAATGAACCTTAAGGTGCTTTTGGGGCTGGCGCAATTTTACTTCCTTTGTTTTTCTCATGCTTTATTTATGACCTGACAAGTGCTTGTAAAAGAAAAGCAAGGGCTCTCTCTCTGCACTTCACAATGCTTTAATTATTGGAGCAAAGCTTGAAACTTACTAGTGCACTTTTCTAAGATTTAGCTACAGTACCGTAAAAAGCAATATAAACTGAAATATTGGTATCTGAAATGCTGGTGTTTTCTCTTCCTAATCATGTTGTTATAAAGACGTATCAACAGTGACAAAGGGCTGTGGCTGTCTCCACAAATCTGGATGAAGGGCTCAGTTTTCTTAGTGCACATGTTAACCATGAGCATATTTATTTAAGCTTTCTACGTATATTTTTTTTAAAAGGGCTGGTCATATTAGTTGCACCACAAGCTCCCTCAGAGATTCAGTTTCAATTTTATAATTTCTTTTCTAAATTAGACAATGCAACAGTGAATTTAAAATGGTCTGACACTTGTGTGCACCACTATTATCTGTTAATGATCTTGCCCCCATCTCAAAGGACTGTACATACGCTGCTGATAAGCTAAAAATTTCCTTTTAAAGAAGGCTTAAACTTTATAAAAGATAACTGTCTTCTGTCAAAATGAGATGTGAACAGATTTAGAAAGCAGTGGTATTACAGTCAAGAGAAGTCAAAAGTTAGCCTGAACGCTTATATCTTGACACTTTGGCTTTCAGGTAGCCAGAACTGGAATCGTTGGCTTACCAGCTTCCGTTTTCCAACTGTAGAGTAGGTGTGCTATAAGCTGCCAGAAGGGAAAAAGTTGGGGTTCATAATGTACATTGACATTGGTACTGGTAGTATGTTCTGCAGAAAAAATACCAAAATCATACACCAAGAGATTAAAAAGTGCTTTTAGACATCTAAGTCCTTACCCGTGTTGCAGTGAAACGACTGCTAATCTTTTGAGCATCCCCAATCTACAGCCACAATGCAGTTTGTCACAGTAGACCCAGTCTGGGCACGTGCAAGACCAGGCTGGCCTTCAGGAGCCTCCCAGTGCCAAGCCTAGCTCTCACACAGACTGCCCAGGCTTTGGGCACAGGGGCTTTGAGACGGCAGCTGAGCTCTCTTGAATCACATCAGGGTGGTGGAGGACATGGCTAGGGTCAGCAGAGAGCTCGCATTGCCCAGGCAAGCAGAGAGAACATCTGGCTACAACACAGCTGGGCGGCAGCCAGCTCCTCCTGAGTAGCATCAACTCACCCTTCTCAGTAAGTTAAGCTCACGTAAAGAGCAGGGAATGGGAGCAGCTCAGCCAGAAACACGTGAGAGAAGGGAGAGAAGGCCAGTAACTTTTGCAGACACGAGGGTACGGCAAACTTCTCCTACTGTACCCTCTCCAGACACTACAGAACCGCTTTGCTGGTGCCTTAATTCTCCACTGGAGCGCATGCTTAACCTTCAAAGGAAGGAGCGCTCAGCAGCACCCGTAGGCACCCTTGTGGGAACTGAAACTGCAGAGCACGCACAGCCCTCGGTAACTGTGGTTCATATTCTGGCTGCGGTGGTGAGCGTGCACGTGTGGCAGTCGTTGCTTCCAATATTTCACCGCCGCCGTTACCCATGCAGCAGGCAAAACGCATTGCAAAGAGAGAGACTCACTTCAACCACCAGGCAGAAGTTGATACAATTTATTCACAAATATTATAGGAATTTTAAGAAGATTAATCAGGGGGTGCTAAGTTACATTCAGTGATGCTTCAGTCTCACCCGATGTTATTGCAATGGCTTCGAGGCAGGCACAGGTATCATGGCACAGCTAGCAAGATGGGAACGTCTTTAACATGCAGCCACTGTAAAAAATATGTCACCGTACATGCCTGGGTGTATGTGTCCGCACAGGTAAACCCTTTTGGCACTGGACAGAGGAGACTAAAAGGCAGGAGGCAGGTTTGCGTGCAGCAGCTTCTTCTTTCTCCCTTGTATTATCACAGAGATCTAGATTTATTGCTTCTGTTTCTAAAGAAATAAAAACCCTACCATTTTTGCATCTAGTCCTTATTATGTTTACAGACATTTAAGTTGCTTAATGTGCTGTTCTGCTGTATTTTAGAATATTAATCATTTCTCTTTTCTCGTTTCCCAGTCATCTGCAAAATCCTCTACTTTCACTATTTATTCAGATGTGTTAAATGTTTTCAGTACTTAAGCACTGCAGTGTGGTAAAAGTTTGGGGTTTTTTTTACTGACAACTTAACCAACTGATACTTTCCAGGGCGATACCTGAATCTCCACAGGTTTTCTAAATACTCTGTCTCAAAATGCTCACAAATACGACATACGACGTCAAAACTTCCAGCTCCTCTTTAACGAAATGGCTCTACCTGACCACTTGGGTTTAATGTGCTCTGGTCCGTGTTCTTTAGGAGAGGTGCGCACAAATAAGCTGGAATTTTATCCTGAAAAAGTACCAGAGGAAAACGTCTTTGGTAACCCTTCTTTTACCTGTTTTTTAACGCGCTCAGCCCGGAGGTAGTTGGAGCCTTTCCTGCGGACGGGCGGACGCGTGCAGCAGCAGCTCAGGCCGGTGCAGCGCCGGGGCCACCGACGCCCTGCGGGAGGGGGGGACCCGGCCACCCCGGTTTTAGCTAACGCTGCGGAACGGCGCGGGGACCCAGCTACACCGCCAGCCTGGCTCCTCCTGCAAGGAATTTACGGGACTGCTGAGCACCACCCTTCCCCCCCTTCCCGTGAGCCATTTCTAGCACATTCTCTGTCCTGACTGCAAAGTTAAATACGAATCGTTGCTTGTGGCTGCTAATTTGTATGAAGGCTTTAGTAATGTGCCCGGAAGACTCGAGAAGGCTGGCCAAATACGAGCTAGTTTTTTAAGTACTTTTGTAGTCAATGCTCAGTATTTTACTTCTGGTTCTATGTTTTCTGCATGCTGACACTGACACAATTTACTTTCCTCAAGCACGGGGAATGAGAGTCCTGTATTAAATGCCGAGAAACCTATGGGCTCGTATGCCTAATGCCATGGCATACAAGGGGTTTTTTAATGTGGCTTCATGTCGGAGGAGGACAAACAATACCTGGAATTATATGAAATTAGATCAATTTAGCAAATGAAAAACAATAACTGATTCAGCAATGACAGTTCCACCAAACTTTATCTTGTAATGGATTTATTATGGCTTAATGCTTTGGCTTCTGTGCCTGCAAAAGTTTCATCTTTATTTTGTGCCTTAAAACACCTCTACTGAAGCTGTAGTCTGAGAGCTGCACGGGACAGAGCTTTCTGTAAATTTTTTCTGCCTCACCTTGAGAAGGTGGCAAAAATAGTGTAGGCTTCACTCCTTTCACCTGGTTTTGAGCTCCACCTTGTTCGTTAAGGCCCTCAGCATCTGGCACCAAATAAAAATTGGACTAATATATGATAACATCACTATCACAAAATGGAGTTGGTAGATACAAAGCTCTATTCAGGACCATGGCAAAGTACTCTAAGCACTCAATCTGCTATGAGCACACAAGATTGTATTTAAAATAGAAAATAAATGTAACTGGGATCAGGCTGAGGGAAAATCTCTATCTCGTCCAGCAATTTTCCTGAATGAGATAGATTGCAATATATTTTTCACATTTGCACCACAAGAGAAGGGAGGGAACGAATTCTAGGCTATTTCATCTGAGGGAGTGGAAATTCACTGTGTACGCTCGGATGAATATTTTTTACTCTCAAATTCTTTACAGAATAATAGCATTGTAGCCAGAACTATAAGAGCAGTAGCTGTAACAGTTCCTGAATAAATGAGGCCAGTCAGGCTGGAGGTGATTGTACTGCCTTGTCAAACTGGTTGGGGAGGAGGGTGGAGCGTAGCAGAGGGCACCAGAGAACGGACATCTCGAGTGGAAAAGGGCCGTGTATCGGTGAGCTGTGGAGTCATACTTGAGAGATTTAATGCAAGTGGGAGCTGTAAGTTATTTAGAATTAGAAAATTACCTTCATCTTCTGCACAACGGGTTCTCCATGAGGAGTGTTTTTTGGTTGGATGCTGGTAGTCTTTCTGGCCCGCTCTCACTATAAATTACTGTTCAGGAATTGTTGGCTTGGTCATAGAGCAGTACGGGCTTGTTTTTTCCAAAGACCACACGATAACTGGAATCACGTACTAGCTTCAGTTTTCTTACTTCTGGCTATAACATAACATTTTGATACAACAATTAATGTGGATACCTACTATTCACATCTTGCAACAAACAGAGCAGCACATATCACTTCTGAACTGTCTTGTGTAAGTAATGCACAACGGGGAGGTGCCAGCTTCTGTGGTTTTTGTTGCAACTCATTTTATAACAGATTTTCCTTCTCAAGATTTGAGTTGCAGGAATAGAGCGATTGCAATAGAACAGAACTTTTCTAAATTAAAAATAAAATAAGCCCTACGGCTTGCAAAGCACTTGGAAAATGTGAGTCAGGTCCACCCTCAAGCTCAGAAACCAGAAAGCAAATAAAAGAACCTAACAATGTTGCCCAAAATAAATAACCACAGTGTGGGGGCACCTGACTGGGGGATGTGTGGGGGAGAAGTTCTTAATTTTTTTTAATCCTCAAGCTTGGCACATCTGCCACAAACTAAATAAACAAATTGTTACTGGAGTCAGGAAAGGACAAGCTAATGTAAAACAGGCTGAAACATAAATTAGTAGTCATAGTAATCTGTCACAGGTGAGTGCTTCTCAGAGAAGTGACTTGAAATGCCAAACCAACCTTCTACTGAAATCCTGGGAGTGTGGGTTTTTAACTTTATTTTAATCTAAGATTTAGCGACGGCTACTATGAAAAATGCACATAGAGAAATAAACACTGCAAACTGTTGTAAAATTTATGAGTAAACTTCCTTCTGTGGCTACTCTGCCATCATAGTGCCTGTGTAGCCATGTGCAGTACTCAGCAGTCACAGCTAGTCAGGACTCTCTAAATCAGAAGCTCTGAAAACTTTATGCATTGCTTTTTCTTTTTAAATTCCAAGGTTTTATGAAATACAATTTATTTTTTTTTCTTTGCAACCATTAGAATTATCAATGGAAAACAAAATAAAAGGTGGAATTCCTGCATAATCTTAACTCCAACAATGGAGTTTATGGGAAAAAAAAAAGCACCCATGGTGCAAAACTAAGGATAAAACAATTATAGCTGGTAACAAGTAAATGTGCTCATCTTCTCAATGCTTTCATACTCACAGCAACTGTTAAAGCCAACATTGCCAACACTTGTCAGGAAATGTCATATAATTTCTTTCTAGTTGTTCCTTGGGTTAGCGCTGGCTTGGGACATTTCAATCTCAAGATGGTACATTAGGCTAAAGATAATGATCATGAGAACACCGACGAAACTGTTCCATAAATGTCAGAATTACTGGCCCAGATTGGTAGATATTTAACACTCCCAACTTTGACCAAACGAGTACGACCTAATCGAGCACACACACAAATATGTGCTCGGAAAAGAACTGAATGGGGGCTATTTCTGGAGTGCTTGAGGAGCATTATGACACTATGTTTGTTCTTGCAGTTCAGCCAACCTTTATTGTCATCTCACGTTTCTCACTTCAGATTACAATTGTCTAAAAAATGAGTTCTGTCTGAAGTGCTGTTAAATTTGGAAAACAATGTGATGGATTGTCCCTGGCTGGATGCCAGGTGCCCACCAAAGCCGCTCTATCACTCCCCTCCTCAGCTGGGCAGGGGAGAGAAAATATAACGAAAGGTTTGTGGGTTGAGATAAGGACAGGGAGATCACTCAGCATTTACTGTCATGGGCAAAACAGACTCGACCTGGGGAAATTAGTTTAATTTATTGTCAATCAAATCAGAGTAGGATAATGAGAAATTAAAACTAAATCTTTAAACGCCTCCCCCCCACCCCTCCCTTCTTCCCAGGCTTAATTTCACTCCCGATTTCTCTCCCTCCTCCCCCACAGCAGCACAGGGGGATGGGAATGGGGGTTGTGGTCAGTGCATCACTTCTTGTCTCTGCCGCTCCTTCCTCCTCAGGGCGAGGACTCCTCACACTCCTCCCCTGCTCCAACATGGAATCCTTCTCACGGGACACAGTCCTCCAAACTTCTCCAATGTGATTCCTTCCCACGGGCTGCAGTTCTTCATGAACTGCTCCAGCGTGGGTCTCTCCCACGGGGTGCAGTCCTTCAGGATCAGACTGCTCCAGCGTGGATCCCCCACAGGATCACCAGTCCTGCCAGCAAACCTGCTCCAGCGTGGGCTCCTCTCTCCACAGCTCCACAGGTCCTGGCAAGAGCCTGCTCCAGTGTGGGATTCCCATGGGATCACAGCCTCCTTGGGGCATCTACCTGCTCTGGCGTGGGGTCTCCATGGGCTGCAGGTGGAGATCTGCTCCTCCCCGGGCTGCAGGGCACAGCCTGCCTCACCATGGTCTTCACCATGGGCTGCAGGGAATCTCTGCTCCGGCACCTGGAGCACCTCCTGCCCCTCCTGCCTCACTGACCCTGGGGTCTGCAGAGCTGTTTCTCTCCTTCTCACTCCTCTCTCCAGCTGCAATTGGTACTGTTGCAGGGTTTTTTTTCCCCTTCTTAAATATGTTACCACAGAGGCTCTACCACCGTCGCTGGTCAGCCATGGCCAGCAGTGGGTCCGTCTAGGAGCTGACTGGCATTGGCTCCACTGGACATAGGGGAAGCTTCTGGCAGCTTCTCACAGAAGCTACTCCTGCAGCCACCCACCCCCCACCCCTTCCCCTGCTACAAAAATCTTGTCATGCAATCCAAAACAGTCCTTATTTCATGAGAATTACAGTCTGCTCAGGCTCACAAGGATTTGATCAGAACTCAATGAACAGTGCAAGTTTAGATTTCTTTTTTTAGGTGTAAAGCTGAAAGGTACTAGAGGCTTTATTGAATCTTTGCGATATGGACTGTTTGGGTATAACAACAAAGCAGGTTTATTTGATGGCTGAACAGTCTTAACGAAGCTAAACAGCTTAGACAGCAAATCTTTATTTAGTTTTAATTGCAGAAGAATCTAATTAACAGTGGTATATTAAAGACTTTGGAGTCTCTGATCTCTTCAAAAATCACCAATACTGCCAAAACTACAAACTCATAAAAACCATGAGACTGATTTACATTGTGAGATTTTTGCACTGAAGTCATGTATGCAATTTCTTCCGAAGGAAAATAATAGTTGTCATTAAAAACCAACAAAAACACAAAAGTGATTTAAAGGGCCAAATCTGGGAGAAAGCATGAAATATTGAAAGAACTGGTGATGAACAGACTTGCCTAGTGTAAGCAGCAGGCTACTTAAGTATCAGTTAGATACTGCAAAGTTTCAGAGATTTTCATGCTATCATAAGGAGGAATCTAGGAAACATATTTATATTTTAACTACAGAGCTATGATGGCAAACCCGTGCCCCTAGCATGGGTGGGTACAGCCCTACTCTGCCTGGCTGCCAAATGATGGGGTGGGCCTGTAGCACAGGGCTCCAGGTAACATGAGCCTGTAGCTTATTTCTCACGTTTCTCTGCAGCAGCACAGGCGCTCTTTGGTTTACTTGATCTGATGTGTAGGCAGGAAAAAAAAAAGAAGTTGCAATACTCCACTGAAAAGAAGAGAAGCAAGAGCTAAGGCCACCTACAATAATGATTTTATGTCTCTCCTCCCTTTGAAATCCTTGGCGGCTGCATTACTTTCATAAGGAGAAAGTTCAGGTTTAGAAGTAAAGACACAAAAAATGCATGTGACTTTTTTTTTTTCCCTTTTGTTTAACATCTTTTCCTTCCTACTCCTCCATTGTAGATGACTAATTTCCCCTTCGGTCCTCAGGGGGACTGTCAGTACAGCACAGCCCCCAGCTGTTTCAGGAATGGCTCTTCATGTTGCTAGGAGAAACCTGCCCGGATGCAGAACGTGCGACCCACGTGCACTCTCCATACTGTGTCTTTCTTAGATGCAGCTACTGACCAATGTAGAATGTGGAAATAAGGCCTACAGCTTCCTTTTTGCAGGTAAAATGGTACCAGAACAGGATGAAGACCTGTTACTTCTCTTCTGTTCCATAAGCTCTTTAGGTCTGGAGAGGACATCTGACCATGACTGTTGTACCAGCAAGAGAAAGCCTGCACTTACCTGCATGACTTCCCTCTGCTCTTGCAAACGGCAGCATCGGCTCAGGTTCCACCACCTGGCTCTTGGGCACGGACATCCCCTCCAAGGAATGCCACAGCCACACAAGGAGAAAATATAATGCTCAAATCAGTAACACACGAACATTCAATAGAATTCAGGCAAAGTCAACAGTTGCTTCATATTTGACCCCAACAACTTTTTGGTGAGCAGTGCGATGCCGCTGTACGCTGATACTGCAGAAATGGAGAACTCAGAAGTACCTACAGGTTAATGAGACCACAAAAAATGCAAACTTAGTTTTTTTCCTTCTGCATGGAGTTCTGATGTTCTGATGTGTTTTCTAGAGCTTTTCTCTGATTTTTTTTTTTTTTTTTGACCCAGAGCAGCTGGGAGTATTAGCCTTCCAGAAAGAAGTTTTGCAAGGACAATCTATTTACATACACTATATTTCAGCCCAGAGCACACTTTACAGCCTACTTTGAAAACAAAGCTACTAGTTATGGTGCTATAATGTTATTACCCATGTTATAATAAGGATTTTGTGTCTTACCTGACTCCTATCTCACCACTCTATCAGATTGGTTGGCTTTTGCAAAGTCTGATTAAGCATTAACTTAAAACATAAATCCTAAGGAATTTTCCCAGTCACTTTGACATTTTCAAGTTTGCTGCCACGCATAAAACCCCCATTCTACAAAACCCTATGCTGTCACTTTAGTGAATGAATGTGAAAGACTCTTGGAGCCATGGTAAATACAGACTTCTACGTGGAGACGCTTAATTTATTCCAGCTGCAAAATTTCTCATCTATTGTTGTCCTGTAGTTTCCTAATCAAACCACCTGCTGTTTCAGATAAATAGGTAAAACTACTGTCTGCCTGTCTTAAGTTTAGGATCCAAAGAGGATGTAATAACAAGATGGTCATTTAATCTGTATTCTCCAAACAGATAACTAAATTCAATATTCAAATGAAAGACAAATGTTCAGTTGGACAAAGAAGCAGCTGAAGCAGCTTGGTAGACTGCATTCCTAGTGGGAAGAAAGTCCTCTGCCTTTTAAGTCTAGGCTGTTCTCACAGTTAGGAACACACCCTTAGGAAACAGCAAACAGATTCTCCCAAATACGGGGAACTGCACACAGTTTCCAAATATGGAATTCTCCATGGAGTCTTACACAAAGGAAATCATCTTCTTTTCCTACTGTAAGTCAAATGAATCATTTTCCCCCTAGAAGAGACTTAAGTATACTTTCCTACATGAACACATTCACTTCAGCACTCTGAAGTTCCTATGCTTTCAGTTTTGTTTTTGCAAAAGGATACAGAAACGATGTCTCAAGTTCCAGCAGGGAGACTTGTTTCTCTAGCTTCTTTATATTCTCTCCTCCAACTGATTTGGGAGAGCGTGTCTGTCTGCGGAGACAGAATGAAAAGCCTTTTATTTAAAATACAAACTATGTTTCTGAAGTCTATAGGGAGTATGTTCATGTGACAAATATTTGTTACTGCTCCCAGAACAAAGGGACCAAACCCAGCTGTGTATAAGTCGTTTAGGAAATTAAAACAAAAGCCTTAACAACTGTCTAATCTGCTTTTGCTCTTTTGGCCTTTTGCTGAGTAACAGGCTTTAGGAACCTCTTACAATCAAGGTCAAAGATCGCTACACTCGCACGGATTTAAAAAAGAGCCTTTGAGCCCGTGGCTGATGTGCCCTTGCCTTCCAGTTCCAGCAAAGCCACCTCTACCTTTATGTCACTTGCAATACCAGCTCGTGAGCTCCTGGACAGAACTGACAGTGTCAGTTATGGGCAAACCTACAGCTCCTGTCTGGAATTCTAATTTTTTTCTCCTGCACTAGTGCTTTGTATCAAGTTCTTACTTGCAACTTTCTAAGAGCTGTTTTAGCCCACAGGCAGACCTCTCAATTGCTGTTGCAGGATCTCCCAATAAAATCAGGATCTAATTGTTAGTGATTTTTTTCTCTCCGAGTAGTTGGTGAGCAATCAGATTTAGTGGGGACATGGCCTCTGACCAGCCTACACCCTAAATATCTTCCCTATACTGCTGTGGGCAGCAGCGGACGCTAGCTGCTCCAGCCAATTTGGTCCCTGGAAAGTGCCAGCAGGCCTCTCAGTGATGCTCCCCCAGAGCCAGCTTCAAGAACAAATACAGCGTTAGACCCTATAAAGAAGGCAACACGGCTGGAATTTCCAGGCATATCGTCTGACGCTCACTTTCCATCCCTAAGCTGAGGGCTAGGTCTCAGTTCAGAACAATGTTCTTCTGCTCCAGCAGAGACCGGAGTTCCTCAGACTTTTTTGCTGGTAACAACAGCACAATCAATAAATAATGTGAAAGGAATACTGGGAGGAGTGAAAAGGTTGTTTTGACTTTAAGGAAATAATGCCCTCATTCCCTAGTTTCCTCTTCTACTTGGAGAGAGGGGAAAGGTGGGGAGGCGTACGAGAGGGGTTTCACACATTTTCCATTTCACTTCCCTACGACATGATGGAGGGAGTTGCATTCCCCATCTGGCCTTAAATCCAGCACTGGGCAAACCCCACCCGAGCCACCGCTGCCCAGTTACACTCTACCACTCTGTCTCTGAGCTGTGTTCAGCCCTGGGAAGGCTCTCTCTTGCCAGGCATGTTCTTGCCTCCTCCTCCCACCCACCCACCCAAGTTTCCCTGGCAGATGTGTCTTAGCCTTGCTCCAGCCCTTAGGATGTCTCCACCTACCACTTCCTGCTATGAAAACCCTTTAGATTTATACCACATCTGCTGACTTGGATAACGAGACACCAAATGCTGAGCTGTATCACCCCTCAAAGGCACAGATGGGGGAAGGGACGCAGAAGTGACTTAATGTACCCTGGCAGCTCTTTTTCTGCTTGTATTCTAGGGGATCCACACACATCAAGAACCGAGTTTGTTTTAGCAGCCCTTGAATACCTTTAATTAATTCCAGCAGCCCCTATAGCACATAAGAGTCACCACAGTGAACGCTCCCTGTACAGTAGCTACTGTGTGGGAGTATTTATGACTGTCCTACACAGCTCTCGAGATGTGACAATTCTCCTATTGCAGTTGTGGTCCTTCATGATCCTTCAGCTGCAGTAACCTGGCCTTGATGTGATCCTGGGTAACCGTTTTGGGCCCTTTTGCCATTTCCTCCTGCATAGTGCGAGTACAAATAGGCAGCTCAAGTCTAGCCAGCTGTGGAAGGGCACAAAGGCTTTTAAGACAGAAAGGATTTGGGAGAAGGGGCAGGAGGGTGAGAGCTGCATGGCTGCGTGGGGATTCGGGTAGGAGCTGCAAGGGGCCTCAGTCCTTTGGGAGGAGATGTTTCACAGGAAGCTCAGCAAGAAAGAGGAGTCCGCTTCAGACTCCCTCTTGACATCTTTTTTTTGTGGGAAAGGGAGTGATTTAGTTCAATGCATCATTATCTAGGAGGTGGCTTGTTCTGTTTGCTCCATTCCAAGTTATTAAAAATGGAAATACCAAAAATTAAATCAATTTTCCAGAATCTCACTCCGTCAGTGACTGAAAAGAAACAAACATTTTTACACTTTATTTCTAGCAGTTATGTCATTTTATGTTGCAAAACTGTAACATTTGGGCTGAAAATGCTTCAGGGAGCTTGAAAGAAAACTATTTCCACTGGATCTTAAATCACAGAAACATTTCTATAACTATGAATTTATCACACTGTCCAAAAATGACCTTTGATGCTTTAAAATTTAGCTATTCTTTATTTACCTCATAACATTATAGCAGGAAAGGGTTCATAAATGTTGAGTATTATACCCCCCAAATACGTCAAAACAATGAATGTCAAGATTCCAAATGAGAAAAGCTGTAGTTTTATGACAGTAGGCAGCAGGGACAGAAGAGACACAGAGAGAGACAACGAGAGAAGGTCATTTATTAAAAGCTGAACATTATACAGAAGCAAATATATAACTACACTTTTAATAATGTAAGTCTCAGAAAATGTATGGTATGAATCCTTTTGAACCCCTCAGGACGTGTGTGTGGAATGCAATATGTGCTGGAGACCCAAAACAAAGAACGCACACGAATATTTAAAGGAATTAATTTAAAATACTATAGGATTCCTGCATGTAGGGTAAGTTATTCTGACTGCAATTTCAATTATGCCTGAGATGAATAAAAGCAAGATTTCTATATTCCCAGAATATAGGAATAGAGCTGTGAAATGAGTACATGATAAATTAGGCCTTTCTCTCCTTACTTTCACTGGCTTTCTTATATTAGGAAAACCTCAGTGTCAACCAAAAGCAAGGGTTTTTTTCCCCCACAAGAGACGAATGACTATAACATTTCCTATCCAACCCACATTTCTATCCCTCGTTTCCTGGACACTATTCGAGTGCCCACCATGCCAGCCTAATTCTCATGATAATAAAATTATGACCTGTTCAGTTTCTGAAAGACAAAACAGGATCCAAATCCAGGAAAGGGTTCACAGAAGTGAATCATTTAGAGACTTCCTCTAGTCCAGAGTTAGTTAAGATTGATCCTGAGCCTCAAAGATTTAGGTGTCTAACTTGTATTTAAAGGCACCTAATTACCCTTAAGAATCTGAGACTCAGTCCCTAGGGGTTAACTTGTGTCTCTCTCCTTAGCGTTTCCTACAGCTATTTCAGAGAGATCCCTGTTCAATTTGCTGACGCTAGGCATTTGAGAAGAGAAGAGGTCTCTTCTCTCAAATCTGTGGATGCTGTAAGGTATCAGAGCAGTTAAATGCTAAGGTACTTCAAAGGAACTGCTGGCATCTTTTAAAGCCCCAGTGTGAATTTAGCTTCTCGTTCCCACTGACTTGACTTCACAAACACCTGAAGCCCACCTACTGTCCCTTCTTCTTATGCTTTCCACCTTCTATATACTTAAATACAACAACTTCTTCCACGAGCCCTACATAACATGATGCCTTTCTCTAAGAAGCAGCAGGCATTTTATTCCCTCTCCTGCTTTGCAACATCCTTGCTTTGGAATGCATCCAGTAATCTCCTTAAGCACATGGAGTCACAAGTACTTAGCACAGAAGGGTATTACATAAATAATAATAATAATAAATATAATTAATAGCCCATAAATGGAATCTTAAGGGGCTTCTAATCTTCACACGTGCTTGGAAAGCAACTTTCCAAAACTATTTAATTTGGATGAGAGTTCTTAGCAGCAACATAATAAGCAAAATATCAAACAAGTTTGTACAATTACATAGCCAAGTGGGCTCCAGCACAAGGCAGTATGTGTATATAGTTCGGCTGTGGCAGAGCATTGCCCATTCCCAGATACCTGAAGTTGATTTTTAAACAAAGTTTACAGGGAATGTGTAGGTTGTGTTACTCTTCTGCACTACTCACTTGAAACTGGGTGCCAGGTTGGAGGAGTGAATCATTTTGGAAGCAGTGGATTTCTTTAAGTTTCTTGAAATAAGAAATTACATAATGTATGCAGTTACACACATGCTAGCAATACACTGTTGATGCCTACATTTAATGGTCTTGATTTTTTGAAATTAAATGATGTCATATATAATTTCAACAACCCTGATGCTTGTAAGAACATTTTGTTCCCCATTTTCATGGAAGATTTCAGTACCAAAATTGTGAGCAAAATGAGCAGTTAACACTGCCACTGGAGTTTCTGGTCTTACTTGTGACTGAGATGTTGCTTATGTATAAAAAAGGACACATAGCCTTGAATAACGATCTTTGCTTCAGAGCAATTTGACTACAACATCATCCTCCCACTGCTCAGCATTGTTCAGCAGTGGGACCTTCAAAGAGATGCTAATCACCGAGTTTTCCATTAAATACACTGTTTTAGTAAAAACTTGAATGGTTTAGAGCACAGTATTGGTCTGCAGTTGGAAAAGAGCTGTTCTGGAAACCATCGTTCCCAAAAGCGGCCAAGACACAGACCCTGTCCGTGATGTGGCACGTGGTAACACGTTGGCCGCTATTTTCCATTTCTGGTGCCTGACTCCACAGCGGGTCCTGGGAAGCCACCAGAGTGTTTTCTGTTGGGATGTGGAAATCTCCTGGGGAAACCCAGCCTCCCCTTGGAAAAAAGCAAGCTGCCATTGCCAGCCTACCCGCGGATGGGGAAAACTCCCAGTTAGGAAATTGGGGCACTGAGGTAGCCCTCAGGGCTTGCGCCCCTCTCACAGACCGCCCCAGAGCTTGCGTGTGGGGTAACGCAGGATCTTCTGGGGTGAAAACCAAAGATTTGCTCTATCAG